CTCCTTGCTCTCCTCTCTGGTTGGTCCCTCACTTCTCTTCTCTTTCTAATTGGGCAAAAGCCCTTCCCTTCTCCTCCTTTCTTCTTTTCCCACATTCCTTTTTCTTTTTCTTCTCCCTTTCCGTCACACACACACACACACGTCCTCCTAATTTAGCATACATTAATATAATATAAATAGAATAGTTATTTCTTCAAAATACTTTCGGTTCGTAAGTCCAAATTCACTTTTTCTTACGCTTACTCGTTCATATCGTCGAGTGCTTCAGGAATATGCTAAAAGAATATTTAGTACGTCTCACAACACGTGGGTCAATGAAAGTCAAAACCTTCGCCTCGAGGGCATTCTCGTAAATTCACATTTTAAAATTTATAACATAATAAAATTTGGGACGGGTTGTCACATCTACTGAGTTACAAGACAAGTTTATAATGATCCAATCCTAAACAAACAAGAAAGCATTCTTATCCTACCAACAAAATACTAAAAATACCCTAACATAGAATACATCAAATTGCTAAATTTTCAATCTATATTAATCGAACGTATTTACCCCGTGTCTCATACTCTCAGTTGTCCTATTATTTTTCCATCTTATTCTATGAAATATAATTTATTTTTACAGAATTCTTGAGTTGATTTATAGTAGCAACTCAAAATTTTATGTTTCTTGTATATTTTCTATAGATTAATGAAATTATAATTTGTTTTACAGAATTCTTGAGCCGGTCTATTGTAGCAACTCAAAATTTTATGTTTCTTGTATAATCATTTTCTGCAGAATTATTGATGCATCATGCAGGTACAGTGTATATATGGATGGTGATAGTGATTTTTTTATTTTGGGTAACAGATGGGAATGTACAGTGAATTTGTTTGAACAAAACAATCAAACTGCGGTGGAGTGGGGGTGATTGTGAGAAATTGGGAAGGAGATTTTGTTGCCACGTTCGCAGGTCAATGATTGGCAGCATCTTGTGTTCGGGATAGATTTGTCCCTTGTATAAATCCCCTTATCTTGCCCGTTGGGCAAGGTTTGTTGCTTGGTCTTCTGCAATATAAGTTTGTTATTAGTTTGAATGATGCCTTTGTGGGGCATTTGTTAGGCCTTGAGGCTCACAATCAAAGCTAATATAAGTCTATGCGTCTCACTGTTCTTTTTATTTAACAGATTGTTTTATTGGTTGTTTTAGTCCATTGTTTACTTGCACCACAAGTCCTCCTTGGTTTATCAAGATTGTTCATAGATGTTTTAAGTCTATATTAAGTTCGTTTCTTGCCTTTAGATCAATGAATTTTTATTTATAATACCATATGTTCATTTATGAAGGAAATCAAGATCATTCAAGTTATTTCCTTAGTTATCAGTTTAGGCCGACAAGAAGGAAACAAGTTATTAGTTGATAGGATTAATCATGGATAAAACTAATACAATAGTAGTTAAAATGACATAGGATCTAATGAAAGATGTATAAACAACGGATCTACTTTATGTAAGTACAAATAAAGGAGATTCGGGCATGATTACAACCTTGGCAGGCAAGGTTTGATTTCTAGCAGACACTTCTCCTTGTATTTTACAGAGATTGGAGTCTTGGAAAATGAAAATATAAACAAGGTTTACTTAAAGGGATTCGATACTACGACAAAGGGAATGGTAGCAGAGCTTCTAAGAACCGACAAAAGATAGCTTTCTATAGTGGACGTGCGACTAAAGAAAGGGAAAATGGGTGAATAAACAAAAGCTTTCTGGTTTACGCTATTGAATGCAGAATTGAGTGTTGCTTGATTGATTGGTTGAGAGAGAGTTTTTTCTTGTGTTCCTTGTCGCTTTTATTGACTTTACTAGCCCGAATGTCCAAGTCTTCCCTTTTGATGATGGCTTCCAAAGCATGGTAAGTCATAATTTGCTTATTAATTAACTACTTATGCCATGTATTTTTTATTTATTTATTTATTTAGGGTGAGCTGCCCTCTATTGCTTGTCACTTCTCATGTAGGCATAATGCCTATTAGTTGCTAGAAATGGTTTTAAATTCATCTTGCGCTGCTACCTGTCCCAGCCCACTTTCTTTCTTATTTTTGTAGGCCTGGACCTTCAATTGCCTTAAACCCAATATTAAACATCCACCCAAACAAATTGTATCTTGGAGGTGGAGGTGAGTGCAGCAGGAAGCGCTGCAGTTTTTGCTTAGTGGATTGGGTTGAGTGGACAACGATGTGTGATGGAAGGAGACACGATGATCATCATAGCTGCGATGGGCACAGAGAGGATTGCTCTCCGCTTGGCCCTATTATTAATAATGCTCGTGAATTGATTAAAGGTTTTTCTCATATACAGCTGACCATGTTAAAAGAGAGGCTAACCAAGTTGCCCATAGACTTGTTCATGGGGGAATTTAATCACGGATGTACTACTTGGAGATGCCTCCTATTAATTGTATCCATTTAAATTTCATTGTGAGGATAGTTAATTCTTAGTTTATTTGTACGGTACGTTTTTTTTCCCTTCAACCATGTTGAAATTCCTAACAAGATTTTTTTCAACCCCATTATAAGCACATTATCCTTACACTACGTGTTTTATTCTACTAGATAAGGGTATTGATTCTGGTAACTATACATCCCACTAATTTCACCATACACATCCCACCACTTTTAATTAATTCATTTTGTCCATAATGCTGCAAGCTAGCTTAACAATTCGCTCAAAATACACTCATATTCTGGAGCAAAAAGGAGGAAAATAATGAAATATATAATATAAGATGAATACATATATTCTTACAATTGTCCGGCCTTTGTTCCTTATTTTATTATAGTAAAACGAGAACGAAGCTATTCCTTTTTATTAACTTTAAATATAAGTCATTGCACGGTCATATTATACAACGAAACATTTGTGACATCATGTGATATTGTTACGGAAAATTGAGTTCATTTCCTACGAAAAAAAAAATCCAAGAACATTTATTTCATTTGCTAACATATTTCGACTTCACAATTTTAGTCTCTAAAGTATTTTTATGGAAAAATAAGTTCTTAAAATCATTAAGAACTACTAATATATCCTTATTATAAGATTTAAAACCATTATATATATGCATTTTTTCATCACATTAAGTCACGTGACTTGTATGTGGTACATTTTGAAGGATAGATTTAACATTTTCTATTTAGTTTAATGTATAACCTTTTTCTTATTCTCAAACAAAAAAAAAAAAAGTATGACCTTTTTTTGTTGAAAAAAACAATGTATGGTTTTAACTTTGAATGGTAAATTGATAACTAGATTCGTTACATGCATGCAACATTAAGGGTTTATGGGGAGAAAAGAAGAATACTACCATCCTCTAAGGGTGTCCCGTTATGTCAAATGACTTAAATGAATGGGAATTATTTGATAGAGTAGCTTCAAATATTATAGTACTGAAATTAATTGGCAGGTTTTAATTAGTTCAAAAGGACTACTTTTTTCTGACAGAATATGTTGAGTTAAATTTCGATGGCTCTATTTCCGCAGGCAGGTGTGCTGCGGCTTTTGTTCTGCGAAACCATGAGGGGACTCCTATTGGTGCTGGAGCTTTGTGTCAGGGTGAAACCACTATCAATGTGGCTGAGACTACTGCTCTAAAGAAGGGCTGATGCTGGCCAAGCGAAAGGGTGTCCAGAGGTTATGGGTGGAAGGGGACTCGTTGCTTATCATTCAGCTCGCACGTGGAGTGTGGAAGCCCCGTTGGCATACCCACCAGATCATTACTGACATTATGGGGACTGCAACTGAATTCGTTGAGATTTCCGGGCATCATATTTTTAAAGAAGCAAACTTTGCTGCTGAAGCTATTGCGCATGTCGGCCTTTTTATTGATAATCCTCACTTTTGGAACTTTTGTTGCCCCCTAAGGCTTTGAACCCCCTTAGATTTGACACTCGGGCAACTGGTTGTACTAGAGGTTTCAGTCTTTAATAAATGATTCATTTATTAAAAAAAAAAAAAAAAAAAAAAAAAAAAAAAAAAAAACTAGCTAGGGACTTAATTGACACTCGAGTAATAATTCAATGATCAATTTAGCAGTTTACTTATATTTATAATGGGTCATAAGGACCTAGAAGGCTAGAAGATACGCACATGGATCGTTGAAATACATTATGGCGTTGATTTTAATAAAGTGTGTCCAAATATGTGTCTCCCAATCTTTACCCATATATAATAATAATAATAATATTTTTGAACACTATAGTATTTACACTAAAGGGGTGGAGAAGTGGGTTAAGCCTTACGATAAGCTTCCCATAATAATGTGGTTCAACTTCACCTTTCGCGAGAATTGAACCTAAGACCTCTCACTTACAAGTAAAGAAGAATACCACTAAGTGAAGAGAAATACCACTACACCGTAGTACTAAGTGGCAATAATAATAATAAATTTTAAGTACTAATAGATTGTCCAAAAAAAAAAATGGATAAAAATTAACAAGAATGTGCTGGGGGAATAAAATGGTGTGTGAATAGCACTATCATAAAAATATTGAGGTAGTTTGTCTAGAACTCCTCAGCGCATTAAGCCTAATCACGAGCTTGATCCAAAGGAGCAAAACTTGACCTAATCTTCCACTGAAAAGTAGCACCAGACAGACAATTCACAATCCATATGTAAGTTCCAAAGAGCGACCAGTATAGTGCTTTGAAAATGTGTGATGCTTTAGATATTTTACTTTTAATACTAACATTCGTGGCTAGCTTGAATTCGTCTTTCAACATCATTCGTGGAAGTTTAATTTCTCCAGAACTAGGTCAATATCCCATAAGTAATGTCAAGTTTATTGTATTGGCTGGTGAGACTTTTGACGAGGTTGAATAATTAAAAAGTAAACAATTTCAACTCCAGTCACAATCAATATCTTAGAAACTTATTAACGAAAAAAAAAGGTCAACAATTTCGCCTCCAGTCACAACCAATATCTTAGAAGCTTCTTATATATGTATATAAACCGACTGCGTTCTTTGATATATCTCATAAATCCAACATGTTCTTCTTCAAATCAATCCCTCTGGGTCTCTTAGTGCTTTGCCTTTTACACCATTCTGCAATTGGTGCCTCCCCACTTTACCATTTTTGTTTCAGCCCAGAAAACTACACTGCTGATAGTCCATACGGTGCCAACTTGAACTCATTGTTCGATCTTTTATACACCAAAGTTCCTCCTACTGGCTTTGGCCTTGGTTCAACTGGCAAAGCTAAAAATCAAGTGAATGGCTTGGCCCTTTGCCGTGGTGATGTCTCAAGCGAAGATTGCAAAACTTGCGTGGTTGACGCAAGCAAAGAGCTTCGCGAGCGCTGCCCTTATCGTAAAGGAGCCATAATTTGGTACGATCACTGCCTTTTAAAGTACTCAGATGCGAGCTTTTTCGGGCAAATTGATAGCAGGAACAGGTTCTATATGTGGAACGTCCAAGAAGTAGAGAATGGGACACTATTCAATGAGAAAGTTAAAGAGTTGTTAAGTGGGTTATCTAATGAAGCTTCTGAAGCTAATCAAAAGCTTTATGCTACTGGTGAGGTACAACTCGATACATTCACAACCCTTTATGGCATTGCTCAATGCACGAGGGACCTCTCTGGGGTTGATTGTAAAAAGTGTCTTGACAGTGCAATAAGTGAACTCCCAAACTGCTGCGATGCAAAACGAGGTGGGCGTGTTGTAGGTGGGAGCTGTAATGTTCGATATGAACTGTATCCCATTGTCAATACTTAAGAGTATAATTATTATGTACAATGTGATCGACGTCTTGTTATGCTTGCTAATAAATGATGTTCAGATGATATTTGAATGTCTCTCTTGACAAATTTATCCAAGGATATGGATCTGTGTGTACTGATTGTGTTTGTGTTATAAAAGAAAAGTATTATGGTATTGAGTAGTTTTCTGAGATTGTATTTATTTTCGAAGTTAGTATTGAGTGGGAATATGCTGATTTATATTTCATCATGAGATCTTTACAAGATTACAAGACATATAAATGAGATTGGAATTGAGTGAGGGAAGGCATGGAATGCGGGACAACACACCTCAATCTTCTCGGCACAATCAGCTGCCATAATTCAAGTAAAAAAGGTGGTATTCACAACTCATCGCAAGATAAGGTGATGGGGAGTGGTGACTACGACCTAATATCTAGGTTTTCTTGTCTATGTAAAGATGTGGTTGCTTGTACAATTACGATTGATTTATTTACGGTTTTGAATAAGTCTTGAATCTTGTTCCCTTATAAGTACTTACCTTATGGAGAATAATTAAGTACATGTTAATGAACATACTTCTAGTACCTGCGTATTGTGTAAATCATTAGTATACTATATTTAGGATACTAGAAGAACTTTTTTCTTTAGGATTGTATTAATTGCAAGGCAAGGAAACCTCCTTGGTTTACTATAAATAAAGGCACAAGTAATGAGAAATAACATACAAAATTCCTCAATCCAATTCTCCATCTCTCTTTCTCTCTATGCCACACCCTCTTTTTGCCTCAGTTAATTATAGGTCACAACACATTATCAGCATGCTCTTGATGCTGCGCTACAGAGAATTTGTTCATCTTCAATTATGAGAGTATTACATTTCAATTATTATTATTTGATTTAATTTTTGTTTTATTGAATTCATATACTTTTATTGATTCAATTTATTTTTCTTGTGTTGAATGTGATACAAGCTTTGAAGATGGAAATTCGAAATCCGAAGGAGTAACTCCTACAAACCAGTTCATCAATACCATCACGTAATCCAGCTTCTTCCAAAATAACGATGTTTATCTTAATATTTTTTCAACCTTGACTGCGTGAACCTCCACCATATTGCATGAACCAACTTTATATTTTACAAATTTTAAATTCTACATAAATTGTGCATACATTATACTCAAAATATTGCCAAATTATGGGAATTGATATTAGGAATTTGAAAACAAAAAAAAAAATTAGGCCAATTGCCTGAACCGCTAGAGCCAAGCCACCAAGATAAATCGAGCCCAAAAAGCCTGTGAGTGTCACGCTGGTTCCGCCCACTTGCCTACATAGTGAGGAGTATACACATGTTAAGTAATGAGTGTTTTAGTGCTATGTTGTTCGTAGCAAATTAAAATTCGGCATATCTGTTTTTGGGTTGTGGGATAATGATTTTGACTCAATATAAGGGTTGTGGTATTTAAGATTCTGGTTGCTAGCATGATCCATTTCTATGGCTATCTAATTTCTGGCATTGTGTTTGATCTTATTATGTATATCATTACTATTTTTGAAGATAAATTAATAAATGGCAGAAGGTTCCCAGTTTCATGAGATTGATACTTTTGAGATTGCTTATGCCTTGAAGAACAAAAACTGCACCAATGAGACAGCCAAGTCCAAATTTGTAAGTCTAAAATGGAATTAATGCTTTAGTGTTTTAATGTTGTTTAATAATTAAGCTGTAAGGTTAAGATCACATGCCGAAAATGAACCAACTTCATTAATAACCTTAATCCTCCTTCTATCACCATTCATGAGCTGAAGCAGAGCACAACAGTATCAAGAACGGTCACAAATGTAGGTCCAGTTAATTCTATCCACAATGCTCATGTTATAACGCCTGCAGGTGTGTCTGTGAGAGTTAAGCCATCAATTTTGTCATTCAACTCTACTGTAAAGTAGCTGGAGTTTAAGGTTACTTTTGGTTCCCTATTAAGAATTCAAGGAAAATTCTCCTTCGGAAATATGTTTTGGGAAGATCGTTTTCATGTAGGTAGGATACCGCTCATAGTTCGAATTGTCCTTGATGATTTTGATGCAGACACATGATGAACTGCCATTCATTTTGAAAACCAAATCTGGAGCTAATCGGATTGTAATTATAATTGTATCCTTATGAATAAATGATTCATGGTTCTGTATCACTTTGCTTCATTCAAAATCTGTTGTTTGACTTTTTCACCATCGCTCAAAGCATGTTGCTTGGCGACCAAGAAAAGAACATAAACCCCATACGGAAAAAAATTCTTTTGGGTGATTATGGGTTTTAGGTTCATGGTCATATACTGGAAAAATACTATAATAGCATCTTCCTCCTGGTCCGTTTTATATGCTTAACGTATTATGTAGAGCAATTGTTTTAATCAAAGCAGAAGACATTTAACTGCTGGGACCGGCCTTGCTGCTGTTTATGTATAATGTGCTTTGTTCTTATCCGGTATCAAGTTTCCAAACTGTGCGGCAAGGAAACGCTTGCCAACCATTCGGAGGAGGATGAAGAAGATATTTTGGTACCCGAAGTTCCTTATCTAAGCGTGATAGGCGTTTTATTGTACTTAGCTCAATGCACTAGATCTAACATCTCATTCCTTGTTAATGTTTTGGCAAGATATAGTAATGCACAACATGCAAACACTAGATTGGTGTTAAAGACATCTTCTGTTACCTTAAGGGGGCGTTTGTTTGCCCTCACTAAGTTGGACTGGATTGGACTGGACTAGCTATTAGTCCAATACTGTGTTTGTTCCATGCTGGGACTAACATTAATGAGACTAAAGGGGATTAGCATGGACAAAACTCTTCACTAAAAGGTCTTAGCGAGACCCCCCAATAACCATGGGACTAGCTAAGACTATCCATCTTTCTCGTCCTCGTCATGCTCAACGACCACTCTCGACAGACTCCTCATCATCTCTGATCACCTAAATCAATCATTAACTTTCCGACTCTCTTTCAAATCCATTTCATAACCAACTTTCATACAAAATATACCAAATTGAAGCTGGGAGTGACAAGATTACAATTTTACCTAAATCGAGGCCAAAATGTGGTCGAATGTGGCTGGAAAATGGCCTGGAAGTCTCGGCCTGTTTGGGCTTCTTCAAATCCATGACAGATTCGAGCATTCAAAGCTAAGATCTTGGTCCAGAGATGGTGATGAATTTTTTGGCGGTGCTAACTTCATCCAATTTAACGAGGAAATGGTAGGAAAAAATGAAGAAAAATATAAGATCATAATAAAATATTAAATTTATATATTAAATAATATAATATTATAATTTGTTATTATTCAGCTTCTTAGTCCAATACTGCACCAAACGCTTCACTAAGTTAGTCCAGTTTAGTCTAGTCTAAGCCAATCCAGCTTAGTCCTTGAAGCTAATCCAGTCCGAGATAGTCTGGCGCAACAAACGCCCCTGGGTACTATGGATCTGGGCCTATTTTATCCCTATGGATCCTCAAGTGATGCCACAACCCCCCTTGGTTCTCGAGTCGTTCCCGCCTTGTTGGTTATGCCGATACAAGTTACTTATTTGACCCGCACAAGGCGCCCTCTCAAACGGGTTACGTCTTAACCGTTGGAGGCACTGCAATATCTTGGAGGTCAACTAAACAGACCTTAGTTGCCACTTCGTCTAACCATGCTGAAATACTTGCCTTACAGGAAGCTACTTGGGAATGGTTATGGCTGAGAGTAGTTATGGGCAATATTTAAGGCTCTTGCGATCTTTACCTCGTCGTTGACGTCCCCATGATGATCTATGAAGATAACACAACATGCATCGAACAACTCAAAAAGGGTTACATCAAAGGAGATAACATCAAGCACATTGGACCGAAGTTCTTCTTCTCACATCAACAGCAAGAGCATCAGAAGATTGAAGTCACGCAAATCCGTTCACAAGACAACCTGACGGACCTCTTCACCAAAACACTACCAAAGGCGACGTTTCAGAAGCTTGTTTAATGAATAGGTATGCATAAACTTTCTTGTAACATTGTTAGTTCTCTTTTGAATTATGTCAAACTCAGGGGGAGTATCCTGAAGTATACTTGCTTGATCTTACTGTCATCTTTTTCCCTATGATTAGGAGCAGTTTTCCCTTTGGGTTTTTGTTACCTAATGAGGTTTTGACGAGGCACCCTCCGTGGGTTGATCATATCCTTGATGACTTCCTGTAGATGTTTCATTTGACTTTGCATTTTCTCACGCACTTTTTCTGGGACTATAGGTTTTGTCCCTACTTGGGTTTTACCATAGCCATTGGGTTTTTTGTGAAACTTAGTTTATGCAGGTTCCTTCTTTTGTTTGAGACTAGCGTGTTCCCAAAACCAATGTCAACGAGTCAACTTTCTCAACTCTACATGATGCCGAAACTACTTGAGTATATACACTCAAGGGGAAGTGTTATAAGCATTGTATTAAAGTGTGATTGTGTAAATCCTAAATTAGATTTTATACTAATTATTCTTCCCTATTAGGACACTTATTTCTTAGAGGAGAAGGATTCTTCCCTTCCTTTTACTATAAATAAAGGCACTGCGTAGAGGGAATAAAGCATCCTCTATACAACCCTACAAACACATATCTCACTCTAATTCTCTCTAGTGGCACGCCTCCCTCTCTCCCTTGTCAGATAAAATAAACCACAATAGAAACCATTTAATAGCAATATTTAGGGATAATATAGGAAGACAAAACATAGTAAAGTTACATTGAAGAAATTAAATATGACGTGGATTATAAATGATTTTGACACAAGTTAAATAACTAAAATTAGTTTTTAATCTTACTCATTGTATTTATCTAAAAGTAATTATTTTTAAGGACTAAATCTAGTTTTCCATTTACTGAATATGATTTAACAAGTAGACAAAGTAAACAAAAAGTAATAATAGTATTAAAATCAACTTTGTCTAGAATCATATATATAGCCATATATTTTCCTTTTCTGTAGTGTGCAACGCGACCTAGTCCTCCACTGAAATATATGACGTCCAATGATCACCTACTAGAATGCATAAAAATGTGATATTTTAGACATTAATTTAGTTTTTCTTTCCTTGGTGCTACCATGAATGCGTCTTTCAATCATTTGTGGAAGCTTTCTCTTAAGAACGAGTCCC